CTGGGATAATTGGGATGGGAGTGTCAGAGACAGTGCGATTGGCACAGGACAGAGCGGAGTTTAGGGCTGTTGTACATAGGGTCGCTATGAATCGCAGGTGACTTGATGGCACATAACAACAACAACAACAACAAGTAGTTACCTTCTGTTTTTACAATAATGGTCTCATTCAGTGTTTGTCCTTATGAGACTGAGTTATTTCATTCATCATAACCTAATAACTCTCCCAAATGATACAGTATTTTATAGAATTGTTATTCTTTAATGCTGCATGGTATCCCATTGTGTGAGTGGACCATGGTTGAGAGAGCAGCGTTTGGACTGGTGTTTGCACAGACAGTTCTAGGACCACTAATCAGTGGGTTGTTGGGGTGTTTTGTTTTGTTTTTATTTAAAGAAAATATTTTTAAGGAAAAAATGCTTTGGTTACTTGCCATATTCTTGTTAAGTTTGAACTTGTCAGTGGCATTCTGAGGGAAATAGTCCACCTTAAGTGAAGTTACAGCTGTCTCGAGTAGTTTGTTTGGGCTTGTGATTTTGTATTCAAGAATTGGTCTGGAGAGTAGTTGATGCTGCCCTGCACTGTCTGGTTTGCTACCACGCGTCTTCATTTTAGATACTCTGAGAGGGTTCAGGAATTTTTGTTAGAGGGTGTGTATTAAATTGTTCCAAAATTTTTATGAAAAACGGGATATGGTTTTCTTTTCTTTGCTTATGGAAGATTCTGTCTCAACCACAGACACTTAGAATTCTTCACAGGGGTTTAATGAGTAGAGGCCATAAAATTTTGGAGTAAGATAAGTTAAGGCAGGGATGCACATCTTTTCTGAGTATTATTAGAAAACAACTTTCTCTTTAAGGAATATATGTGTGTGTGTGTGTGTGTGTGTGTGAGAGAGAGAGAGAGAGAAACTTTATTTTTACATTCTTAAATTCTGAAGTTTGCTACCCAGCCGTTGCAATTCTATTGTTGTTTATGGAAGAGCTGAGTTTGGCCCTTGGATATAGGCTCAGGGCAGCCTTTGTCCCTCCCTCCTGCTGTCCAACTGACTGGCCTGGGAGGAAATGATGTCATTCTTCCATAACTCAGTTCTTAACTGTAGTCAAGTGTCAAGAATGCCATAGTTTATACACTAATGCTAAAAATCTTTATAAGACCATTGTAACTCAGAGTTACGTAATGGATTCTCACAGAATCCCTCCCCAAACCCAGCTTTATTTAGTCGTGTTCTTATTCTGTGGGGTTTTTGAGCACCAGTATGCATGTGATAACTTTCTGGGGATGGATCAGTGAGCAAAGCTGACCGACGTCCCTTCCTAATGGAACTTTTATTCTGGTAGAAGGAAAATAAAGAAGTAAAATGTTTAATGTGTCAGATGGTGACAAGTGCGATGGAAAAGATAAATTAGGAAAGGCTGTGGGATGAGCGGGGGAGGAGAAACAGCACAGCGAGACGGGAGGGTGTGCTCCAGGCTGCCACAGGCACTCGGTGATCAAAGCTTGGAGACTCGAATTACAGCTCCAGCTCCTCTTCTGAGTGGTCTCTGCAGTTCTCTTAAAAGGATCTGCAGGACTGGTTTTCTCCATTTTTCAAATCTTTAAGCAGAGGTGTTTTGGTAACTGCCAGGCACCTAATCACACCATCATTGTGGCGAAACTTTAGATCTCTTTGTTTCTGTTGTTTTGGAAGTTGTTGCTGTTATGTGCCGTTGAGTTGCTTGCAATTCATAGCGACACTGTGGACAACAGCTCTGAACCCTGTTCTGTCCTGAGCCACCCTTACTGTCTCTGACACACATACTCCCATTACCCCAGTCACTGAGTCAATCCATCTCATCTTGCTCTGTCCCTCCACTTCAGCGATCCTAACATCCCAATCATTTCAGCCCTAACTGTTATTTGTTCCAATGTATGAGGCATTCACTTCTCTTGGCCACAGTTTTCCTGCACAAGGGTCGTTCGCGGAGACTGTGTTTCTTTGGGTCAGCTGTTTACAGAGGAGGGCTGTCGGAGGGCTTTGCAGAGAGTGTGGTTTTGTTGTGGAAGCAGATGGCTGTCGGAGGGAGTGGGCCCCGAGCACAGTGGGCAGGTCAGCACGTGGCCAGCCTGAATTACCGCTGCTCCATACACGAGGAGGACCCTGAGGCTTCCCTCTAAGCCATACAGGTCAGGAGCTGGCGGCATCTAGCCCACAGACATTTTTGTGTGTTCTGTACAGTGTTGAACATATTACCTGTAGTTCCTTTGTGCTTAAAAAGGAAGCAATGTATGTAGACTGTTGGGTCTGTAGCTTATCTTGAAAACTTACAGAAGCTGGCCATACTGACCTATATTATAAGGGCGATTATTCTGGAGCCAAGTGGCACCTGTCCTCTGTGGGCTTGGCCTCTCCAGCTCTCCCCAGTATCTGGCCTACTTATCGGAGTTAATTGGTTGTACCATCTGGCAGTTGTGGGCATTTGATGTTGACACCTTCGCACTCTGGTGCTTGGATTTGTGTCTGCCCACAGTGTGCCTCAGCCCACCCATCCTGGTGTATAAGATGTTACTCTTATTTTTCTCTTGTGACTTTCAAGAGGATTTATTTTTATTCTCTTGCTTTAGAGAATTTCAAGCTAAGCATTGAAAGAAAGCTTGAGATGGCAGTTGGGTATGAGCTGCTCCTCGGTAGCCTAGAGTTAGGAGCTGCCAGTCCAAAGGTGAGCTGTTCGAGTCCACCGTGGTTCTTCAGGAGTTATTGTTGCTAGGCGCCATCGAGTCAAGCACCACTCAAAGCGACACTGTCAATGGCAGATCTGAACCCTGACCTGTCCTGCGCCGTCCTCGTCATCTCTGACACACGGAGCCTATTGGTGCTGTCACTGTGTCAGTTCATCTGATAGAGGGTCTTTCTCTCTTTTTCCGAGTCTCCGCCTCTCCAAGCCCGATGTCCCTTTCAGAGGAATAGCCTCCCCTAGCTCGACGCTCAAAATATGTGAGGTGAAGTTTCTCCATCCTTCCTTCCAAGGGCCGTTCTGGCTGCACTTGTCCCGAGGCCTGTCTGTCTGTTCTTTGACCTTGGGACACCCGATGTTTTCCTCCAGCACCACAGCTCAGAGGCAGTAGAAAGACAGGCGCTCTTATTTTGTATGGTTTACAGCCTCTGAAGACTCCACTGGAGAGCCAGCTACTCGCTGGTTCCAACTAGACAGCTCATAACAATACCACTACCCAAAAGATATCCAAACCCCAATGAAAACTGTAATACTTTACCTCTGGTGATGCAGCTTTTAGCTTAATCTCTAAGCAGCCGTTTGAAAGAGTGATCTTTTAAAGTGGCGGGTCTCCAAGTGTGCTCCACCAGCCAGCACTGCTGGCGCATCCCTTGGAACTTGTCAGAAGTACAGTTTCTCTTATTAAATTTATTAAATTGTTAAAAAAAAGAAAGAAATAGTTTCTCTCTTCCCACCCCAGACACGCTGAATTAGAAAGAAACTCTGGGATGAAACCCAGTATGTGTTTTCACCTGCTCTCCAAGTGATTTTAACCTGTAAAGTCTGAGAACCTCTAATCTAAAAGATGTTGAAAGTGTAATTTATACAAGTTACTTCTTTCTTATTAGATTCTATAGACATCCAGAGATGGGAGTGTATTCATATTAATCAACATGTTGAGATGTTAATAAAATAATTGCTTAAATTCAGTCTTCATTGCTTGATAATGTTAGTGTTGCCGTTTTATGAATGATACAAAGTGAGGCTTAAAAGAGAGTAAAAAAACCACTGAAGCTACACAGATAAAAGTAAGAAAAGTAAGAAGCAGAGAAAGGATCTGCCTAGGCTGCATGACCTCTCCTAAAGCTGAGATGGTCAGTTCATAAAAACATCTTTAAATGCCGTAAGAGCCCACAAGAGGGAGCCAGTACTTCAGGGAAGGAATCAAAAAAGTCTCATTTGTGGTGCATTTTGAGGAAGGAGTAGGAATTCTCTGGCCAGAGAAAGGGAAGGCCATTCTAGTCAGAGGGAATTGAGTCTGTGGAGTCATGAGGAGTGTGGTAGGGTCAGTCGGGAGTACTGAGTAACTGGGTTTGGAGGAGAGAAGGTGTGGGTGTGAGAGGAAAGGGTAGAGAGGCTGAAGAGGAGACCTTCAAGGAAGGAATTCGTGCTCAGTGTGTCCTTGTGTTTTTGGAGACATTTATTTCTCTTTCACATTTTTTCCCTTGATGTATTGGAGAAATTAAAAATAGAATCCAAACACAGCACAAG